ATGAGGCGATTCACCCCCAACTCTCAGATACACTGAATCTGCCCCAGTGGCGAGAGAAAACTCTCCTGAAGATATCTCGCCACTGCAGGGTATGAGCCGCTGGTGCTAATTTTAGCCCTGGGTAGGGTTAATTTAGCAAGAGGGGATCCTGCGATCAATCCTCCCTCAGTGCTCTACTGGGATTGAAGCCGCCACCCAGTAATCACTGGATTAGGGTAAACTTCGCCACCCTAGACCCAGTCATCAACTGCGGTCAGGAGGGTGGATGGCGAAATAACCCACTTCTCGCCACTTCCTGTCAGGCACACAGACATGCTCAGGGTGCCTGATCAATCGCAACTGATATTCCTGCAATCACCGCTTGTATCCCTTCTTCCCTGCTGGATAGTCACTGGAGATGGAGAACCACCATGGATCTTCTCGCCAGTTAGAGCCAGATGAAGAAGGTGCCCCTATTGCGCTCAACCCTCTGAGCTCCAATTCCAAGCTCCGCTCCGATACCAACTGTTATGAACTTGGTTGTCTGACAATTTGCTTGTCACTCTCACCCAGAAGGACTCACACACTCCCATACATGCATGAGACAAAGGGGAGAAGGAGACAGGGTCCAACTGCACACAGATCAGAGATAAACAGCGGAATAGCAATTATGCACAGAAGGGGAGAATACACTCAGTGTTTCTCTCTCCCTGACACACTCCCAACAACCAATCACAATTGACACTGCGAAGATCACAATTGGAAAGTAACCCAGACGAAGAGCCAACTCAACACAGTTAACCTCAATTATCGTTACACAGTTCCACCCAGTGTCTCGCCACTCAGGAACCACACACTCCACTCACTACCCCACTCTCAGAGTCTAGCGCTGCACAGAAATAGCCTCCCAGAGGCCAGCGCCATACACCCAGATGCAGATCATGAATAGCGAAGTAGCCTCCAGTGCCGATGAGTCACTCTGACGATGAAGAAGACAGCTATGGCTGCCTGGCTGCTACCGCAGCAGCAGTACCCACATGTACTCTGTCAAGACCTCCCAGATAGTCCTGCCAACGCAGATATCCCCCAGGGGATAGATGCGCTGAGTACAGCCCCAGCTATGGCTGYCTCAGGTGGCGGGCTATGGCTGCTCCACTCACGGCTGATGTCTCCGGTGCCACTGCAGACATTCAGCGCTGCTCAACTTGGTTGGCCACCAACGCTGCATGCGGAAAATGAAAGCCAAAAGTCCCCCTATCAGTTTCCCTCCTAGACTTATAGATTCCTACACTAGCCTAAACCGAAACTGGACTGACTGGACCTACTGGTACCGTTGCTGTTTCTCGGCCTCTCGGCCTCTACCGGACCCGGCTATAGGCTATAGGACCGTATACCAGTATAGGCCGCTTAGGGCCTGTCTGTCCTAGGGTAGCCCGGGCCTGCTATAGGCAGTTAGGGTAGTAGGGATTCGGTTAGTTTAGGGCCTATAGTCCCTCAGAATTACGGGTCTGCCCCTCGCGAATTTCCCCACAGGCAAGTCACTCGGTTAGCCCTCATCCAAACAAAATTGCGAATCTAACCCTACGGTTAGTGTACAGCCTCGCAGACAAACTCGGCAGCAGAAATCAGCAAGTCATTGCACATACATACAACTGATTGTGTGTGTGTGTGTTGTCATATTCGCCATACACTCAGAAAATGCATGACTGTGCCAGACTGTTTCGTCGGACTTTCACCGTGTGTGTGTGTGTGTGTGTGTGTCTGTGTGTGTGTGTGTGTGTGTGTGTGTGTGTGTGTAGCATGTGTGTGTGTGTGTTGTGCGTGTGTGTGTGGATGCGACATAAATTTGT